GCGGAGGGAATGCTCCTAGCAGTCCAGCAGGGCACTGTGGCGCCACTAGTGCCATTAACCGTCTACCGACTGGCTAACCCTCGTCTTCGGAGTATCCTACCTGCTACGTCGTAATCAACGGCTATCAATGGGGAGTATCGACCAAAAAGCGGATCAATGTTTCTAAGGCCTTATAGAGCCCTTTTTGGGGCGTTTTCTGAACCAGCAACACTTCATAACTTCTCGAATAGGGCCCATTTTTTCACTAGATTAGTAGCAACTGGATGGACCCATCTAGAGTTGTTGCCTTAAGCAGAGATGCACAGCAAATCGCTCGCATGATGTCGATGAGGCTCGCTCCAATGCGGAAACCAGTGGTCTAAAAAGGATCCCATTCCTTGGGTTCTGCGCCGTTTTTCTGGGACTCTTTTTCGTGCATCACTGACCACCTCTACCTCTATTTCTGATGGGCTGGCTTCTCATCGCAAACTCCACCTTCAAAGCAGCCACGTCATATATGCAGATGCCATATGTGAGGACCAAATTGAAACATCGATATAGAGGGCTAAGCAATGGTCCCCTGCACCAGTTTTCCCTCTACGCCAAAAGAAACCAATTGGACAACTCAATACAACACAAAACCAACCCAAAAAACCATAACCCACGTGAAATTCAACTTGAAACACGCTCTGTTCCCGTGCGCGAGGAATGTGTACGCGTGTGAGCGGGAGCCGGTGCTTGTAAACGTACGTCAAGCTAAGTTGTTTGCAGAACGGCATGGAACATCCGTTGTTTATTGTTTATGAGAAGACTAGTAAGATGGTAATTCCCTGATTAATTGACTTCATGGTGGAATCCACTCCCGTTGATGCTTGGCGGCAGCCTTGAAAAAAGTCATGGTATAACGGGTGCTTTACGCTCTTATATTGATAGTACCTGATGCTGTGTATGTTCTTTGAACGACTGCCCCCCCCCCTCCCCTGCCCTTCCCCTTGACGGACCTAAAACGGAGTTTGCTAACCTTTTTAGCCTTACCACACCCTCTCTACTTGTGATATACAGCTATCTGACGAAATCGCAACCTGAATCAAGCAAGGGAAACTTTTCTCGTAGGTGAGGTATGGCAAGAAGGGGAAATTACTCATAGTGAGGATGCCAACCAAATAAAGTGAGCAAAAAAAGAACAAACAATAATCGTAGAATGGAAGTAATTAAGTGTACGCCAATTGTTAATTCAGTGTTTGCCGAAGAAATTTTAATACCTCAACAATTCTAGAAGAAGAAAAAAAAACAGTTAAAATTGATCAATTTACCTGATGAAATGTCTTTCGATTGTTCCAAATTCGTCGGGCTTCTCGCCATGTTTACCCTCAACCACAATGAATTGTCCAATAACTGACACCTGGAACCATCATAGCCATCATTATGACGCTTGGAGCAATGAATGTGTGAAGGCTGCATGCCTTCATTTTCTCAACTGGTAGAGCAATCAGCTCTGACATAAGGAGAAACTTTTTCAAAACTTCAGTGAGGGTTACCTAAGATCTCTAACTACATCCTCCCCTCTTCAACCAATACTTATCGCTTGATGTAATATGCTCGGCCTGCTGCCACTAATTTATCTATATTAAAGCGCACGATGGGATAAGCGCTTGCGAAGGGAGGAACGCAGCGAAGGACAAAAAGAGAACGAGAGACGAAGACGGTGTCCACATTAGGCCAAGAGTGGATTTTTCAAGGAGATTGCTAAAGAATTTATAATTACAGTATCACCTACGCTTTCCATGGATACTAAAATTTCCTACACAGTGTTAAGGAGAGCTTAGAGAAGTTAGGCAATGTATTTATGAAAAGTTGTTGGACCAGCCAGATTTTTAGACCCATGGGTCGCGATTAGGTCCTCAGAGACATGCTTCTCGAGAGTGAGGTAACAGGACCTCTAATCGGCAAGTGTGGTGACGCTGCCGAAGCTAATGCCCTTGCTTCACAGCTGCCACCGCTGCCATTTTTATCAACGCAGCATACGTGGCGTCTGCGCCCTCTCGCGTACGACGTACTCTCTCGCGTTCCCCTCTCCTCGCAGCGCTGTGTCTCTCCGTCATACACGGCCGACCTCACAAGGGAAATTTCAGTGTTTTCTATGGTTCTTTTTGCTTTCCCCTCACTAAGGTTCCTTTCCCATGTTTTATCTAAATTACGAACGGAACAGTCCAAATTCAATCGCTACTCGTGTCTACAAGGCCGGTGGTAAAATAAGCGCTAGAATCCGTTTTGAGTGTCCATAATAGGGATGGCTATAGGGCTGAACATACAGCGCGGAATCTGTATCATGGAATCGCATTTGATCTGTTCAGAAGCAGTTCCCAAGCGGCCTTTAAGGAATCTTCAAGACTTTCGAAGCTTTTCTTTCAAAGTTGAAACGCCTCCATTTTGAACATATACTCCCTGTTTGACGGTATTTTTTGAATCGATTAAATTTTAATGGAGGAAAGGTCAGCTTGGAAGAAGGATGTGGAGAAGGGGGTGGGTCGATGTTAGTAAATTTGTTTCCTATGCTCCCTGAATGGTGGTAGTCACATTACCAGCCCTTTCGGCAATTTTCCGAACATAGTAGGACACCTTGAACCGGCAGCCTTTATAGCAAATGATAGCTATACATATTTTATTTGGAGCTCAATTCAGCGGGCCACTCGCTCTAAACGCTTCAGTAAAGGTAGAAATAACTTTTTCGTTCGCGAGTACTTCTCGTCAGGAAAGGAAAAAACTTTATTTCAGTTTGA